AACCCAGTCTATAAAAGATGGCTGGGATTTTTGTAAACTTCATTTTGTCAGCATTTGAATGTTGCCGTAAGCCTCTGGTTGAACTGGAAATAAATAACAGTTCTGGTCTTATTTTATAACCTTTGAAAAGTAGGATGCTGCTGATCTTCTTCACCTCTGGAAAAAATGCAGAGAAGAGCAACCAAGATGATTAAAGGTCTGGAGACCAAAACATAGGAAGAACGGTTTCAGGAACTGGGTACGGCTAATCTAGAGAAAGGAAGAACTAGGGGTGACATGATAGCAGTATTCCGATATTTGAGGGGTTGCTACAAAGAAGAGAAGGTCCACTTATTTTCCAAAGCACCAGAAGGCAAAACAAAAAACAATGGGTGGAAACTAATCAAGGAGAGAAGCAAACTGGAATTAAGGAGAAACTTCCTAACAGTGAGGACAATTAAGCAGTGGAACAGCTTGCCACCAGAAGTTGTGGTTGCTTCACCACTGGAGGTTTTTAAGAGGAGACTGGACAGCCACTTGTCTCAAATTGCTTGAGCAGTTGGCTGGACTAGAAGACCTCCAAGGTCCCTTCCAGCTCCATTCTGATTGATCATGATGATGCCAAGTATAAACTATTTTATGTTTTCGCATAAAAATGAAAATATCCTTTTACTTCTCTGGATGGATATATTTACCTGGGAAAAAGCCAAGGAAAGTATGCTCAGACAGAAAGACAGACAGACAGACAGACAGACACACACACACACACACACACACACACGGACTCTCCTCTATTCTTCTCTATCAACAATATGCAAATCAAAGGACATTTTGGAGCTGCAGTACAAACTTCCCAACACACTTGTCACAATCCATTTCCTATATACAGCTATGATTATGAATCATTAAATAAATACTTCAACTTTGATGCTGAAAATATATTTCCTATATTTTTGAAATTATTAAACTGTAGATTTTCTGCCACATTCCAAAACTTGCTCACTTTTTCAATACCTCATCTAATCTGAAAAAGACTTCTATAGAACTAGTGAATATAGTTAATTTTGTGATTATGGAAGATATAAAAACTAACTTGAGTCAGAACTGCAGAAAGGCCATACCCATTTTCTATGGGGTTTTTTTTTAAGTTTCCTGACTGCAACTTTTTACATTATGGGATGCCTGAGTTTTAACCTATGCCTCAGTCACCTTTTGTTTGGACAATTATGACCAAATATAGCAGACAGGTGCAAACCTGACACCTTCAACATATATTTGGGCCCTGTCATTTTTTCCAGCATCACTTGCTCCTATCATCTATGATTCAAGGATTCCTTTTTGGCGACATTAGTTCAAGGTGGGCCTGCACTGCCATAAACAGGTACACTGGTTTACAGGTACAGGTACAACTGTTACACTGTTTGGGTATCATCCTAGACTTGCAACTTTAAGTAAACAAAAAATAAAAACAATGAGAGCTGTAGTTGGCAGGGTTTTTAGACAGATTCGGGTGCCCACTGTGCCCTTCCCTGAATGGAGAGACTAATCCTACAGTCACCTATGCCTTAGTCACCTTTTGTTTGGACACTGGCAATGAATTCTATGTAGGATTGCCCTTGAAAGCCACTCAGAAGCTACAACTGATCCAGAATTTAGCAATGCATAGTTCTGGAAGTGCTACAAGGAATGGCTAAAGGAACTGAATACGTTTAGCCTGAAAAAGACAAGATTTAGAAAATAGAGCAGTCTTCAGATATCTAAAAGGTTGTCAAATAACAGAGAGCAGGGACTTGTTCTCTGTTGTACAAGAAGTCAGAACCAATAGGTTGAAACTACAGGGAAATAAATCTGAGTATTAGGAGTTGTTTTTTAACGGTGAGACCTGTTAACCAGTAGCAAAGGTTGCTTCTTGAAGAAGTCTTCAGAAACTGGACAGCCATCTGTCCAAATGCTTTAGCAGATCCTGGGGTGTATAGGACGTTGGACTAGATGATCTCTAAGAAACAAATCTATGGTTCTATTATTAACATTTACAAAAAAAGATAGGCAAACACAACTAAGCTACAAAATTCATAATGACCCATAGATGCCAGCAAATATTGCATGTAGTGGTGGTTCATTTTTCTGCAGCCAGATATGGTAGAGCTAACAAAGAGCCCGTTCTTTGAAGCACCCAATTCTGATGCACTATCAGGAGCAAGGCTTCTTCCTTCTTTTCCAATCCAATTCAAAGAGCTGGATTTTGTAATCTACATCCTGCTTTCTGCACAATGTCTAAGACAGCAAATAATCAAGAAGATAAAATGCACCATAAGAGAATCCTATGAAATAGTACAGTTCTTACAACATCTCCATGCGCATGGCATATTCCCATAAACATGGTCTGAAAGTCCTAGCTGAAGCTTCTAACAGCAGTTTCCTCTCAAGACAAAGGTAGCAGTGCCCTCTGCAGCATTACACAAAACAAGGAGGTGTTTTGTACTAGTTCTAGCCTTCAAGATAGTGAGAAATTCCATATGAAGCTTCATATTTGTATGTTGGCTGCAGATGACAGGAGCTGTATTCTAGCACATCTGATTTGGAAAAGGTTTGTCTCCAGCAGGCAGGTTCAATTCTTCTTCTAAATCAAACTGCCACCAGATAATTTTTAATGTGATAGACAAGCAAAATGTTAAATACATGTAACACATTAACAGTATTTTTAGTTAATGTTAGATTGAATTTAACTTAATTGTCCATTTTTTGGGTTGTATTTATAGCATGTCATTTTTAGCCAAGTTGAAGTCCGTAGATCTTAAAAGGAGAAAGGCTGGAATCACAGAATGTGCTAAGTGTCAAACAAGCAAGCCACATTTCCTACATAACATTTTAGCTAATAATGCGATTTGCTTTATTGGGTTTCATGAGCCAGTGGCTTTTAACCCATGGTTTATTATTTGGGGCGGGGAGGAGGGGTTTCAAGTTAGTCTTGATTCTTGGCAATTGTCTGGGAAAGTCCCTGAGGTTTTCTTGGCAAGACTTTGGGAGCAGTTTTTGCCATTGCCTGCTTCTTGAAGCAGTGAATAAAACTGGAAGGGACCTTGGAGGTCTTCTAGTCCAGCCCCCTGCTCAAGAAGGAGAACCTATATCATTTCAGACAACTGACTGTCCAGATTCTTCTTAAAAACCTCCAGTGATGGAGCACCCACAATATTTGAAGGCAAGCTGTTCCACTGGTTAATTGTTCTGATAGGAAATTCCTCTTAGTTCTAGGTTGCTTCTCTCCTTGATTAGTTTCCAACCATTGTTTCTTGTTCTGCCCTCTGGTGCTTTGTAGAATAATTTGACCCCCTCTTCTTTGTGGCAACCTCCCAAATACTGGAATACTGCTATCATGTTGCCCCTAATTCTTCTTTTCTTTACACTAGCCAAACCCCAATCCTGAAGCAAGGGCAGAAGGGGACAAGAGGGATCGGTTGAACCTCTCCCAAAGACAGGTAGGCAATGAAGCAACAAAGACAAAGGACTCTAGGCAGTGATCACTGGCTCGCTTGTTGGGCAAGGCAAGCGATGGTTGTGAGGAACAACTGCCAGTACTAACTGCTTGCTTGCTCATCTACTTTCCGTATTTCCTTTGTTAGTTGCGAAGTCGTGTTCGACCCATTGCAACCCCATGGACAACATTCCTCCAAACCTTCCTGTCCTTTACCATCCTCCAGAGTCCATTTAAGCTCACACCTACTGCTTCAGTGGTGCCATCCAGCCATCTCATTCTCTGTTGTCCCCTTTGTCTTTTGCTCTCAATCTTTCCCAGCATTAGGCTCTTCTCCAGTGAGTCCTTCCTTCTCGTTAGGTGGCCAAAGTATTTTAAGTTTCATCTTCAGGATCTAGCCTTCTAAAGAGCGGTCAGGGTTGATCTCCTCTAGGTCTCCAAGAGACTCACAGGAGTCTTCTCCAGCACCAGAGTTCAAAGGCCTCAATTCTTTTGGCACTCAGCCTTTCTTATGGCTCAACTTTCACAGCCATACATTGCAATTGGGAAAAACCATAGCCTCGACTATAGGCACACTTTTGTTAGCAGGGTGATGCCTCTGCTTTTTAGTACACTGCTTACTTCCTTGCTCTGATGAAACTGCCAGCAGGAGAAAGCAAAGGTATTGAAAATATTTGTAGCTCGGATTGAAGTTTTGGGGACAAGGGTCCCTTCTAAACAGGAAGTTCAGAGAACGGAGCTCCTGCCAAAACAAAGGTATATGCCAGGGATCTCCAACCTTGGCAACTTTAAGGCCTTGCTGGCTGAGGAACTCTGGGAGTTGAAGTCCACAGGTCTTAAAGTTCTCGAGGTTGGAGACCCCTGGTATATACGCCCTTCCTTCGCGCGGGTCCCCCTCGTCCGCCCCGCCAAAGCAAGAGGGCTGGCGGAGAGAGCGGGGCGGCTGCTTACTCCCACAAGGACTCTGCCTTTCCCTCCCAAAGGTAGAACATGGCCCTTCCAACTCTACTCCACTGGCTGTCGGATTAAGAAACGTGGACACCATCATCACACGCACACACACGCCCCAATGATAAGGATTCGGAGTAACACGCAAGCTCGCCCCGGTCGCCTCCAGCGCCACTTGCTGTGGAAACAGCCCAGGCCTTGGGCAGCGAGGAAAGAAAGGCGCGCATGCGCAAGGAGGCAAGCTCCCTTGGATTGACGTGGGCTCTCCGACAAGACGGTTCCAAGGAAATCAAAGGAAGAGTTCCTGAGGTGCTTTTTTTTTTTTCCCCTCAAAAGGCACCTGGACCTTTTTTGGGTTTTTTTCTTTTTGCTTGAAAACGTTTCGCTTCTCATCCCGTACTGAGGAAAGCTTCTCGAGTGAGAAGCGAAACGTTTTCAAGCAAAAAACATTAAAAAAAGGTCCAGGTGCCTTTTGAGGAGGAGGGAAACCCGCAAAACCCTTCGGGGAAACCGCGACCTCGAACGACGGAGACTCCCCTCAGACAATGGCTTTCGGGAGGTTTTAACCCCGCCCCCTTAGCTCGCGAGCTCCTCCTCTTCCTCTCTGGACATCCCCGCCCTTTCCTTTCCCCTCCCTCCCCAGTTTCTGCACTGGGGCTTCTGGATCGGGTGAGTCTCTCAATCTTGCGCTGGTTCCCCGTGCGAGGCAGGGACCCCTGTATTTGCAGTGGTGGGGTTTTTTCTTTTTTTTTCTTTTCTTTTTAAAGAAGCCGCAGATTGAGTTATTTCTATGAAAGTGGTTAGGAAACGGCCGTCTTGGGTCGCCTGGCTTGGGATACACGCCCTGGCCTAACGCAGGGGTCCCCAAACTTGGCAACTTTTAAGACTTGTGGACTTCAACTCCCAGAATTCTCCAGCCCGCATAGCTGGCTGGAGAATTCTGGGAGTTGAAGTCCACAAGTCTTAAAAATCACTGCTTCACTTGTGGAGAACATAAATTTGGAAACCACTGCCCCAATACTAATGAGATGATAAAAGACGGGGATTGCTGCTCTCTTGCAGTTTAAATTTAAGAATAAAAATGACTAGAGATCCAGCATCCCAAGGATTCTGCAAGGAGTTCTATGACAGAATAAAAACCAATAAAGCTTTTAAGTTTATTCTAATCCAGGCAATTTTCTATCACACTTCCTCAGAGGTCTGTAAATTGTTTTTAACATGTTCTTTGGCCTTCTCTATTACAGAAAATGGGTTTTGAAAAGAAAATACGTCACTGAGGTGTTCCTGAAGTGTTGAATAGAAATTTCCTATAATAAACATATCTTAAAGAAATTACAGGAGTTGTAATTCCACGTATTGGAGGACATCTGGTTAAACAAAGATTGCTGTAACCTCACAGACGATACATGCAAAAAAACTTACATAATGTACATTTTTTTTACAAGGCTGCATTTTTTGGATAGTTATACAGCCACTATGGGCCCATTTCTGAACAGTTTACAGCCCAGGGTTTGGGGAACCTGAGTTAGATCACACTAAGCTTAAATTTCATTTCCTTGTTTTTTGATCTCATTTATTAAACCATGGCTTCTAAATTTAATATTTAGATTAACAGCTTATTGAATAATCCAGTATTAAGCAACGGTATCTTAACATACTGTTTAAATTTAAAATGTCAGTATATAACTAGCCTTGTCATATGAGTTATAAGTGTTTTATACACATATTATTTCTTATATCTATGTTGCATTAATATTTTGGGTATGGGTTCACTTTATTGAACAAATAGCACATTCACACAACTTTTAAAAAATATCTGCAGTTTTGTCTATTCAATAAAAATGAACTAATCACAGATAGTTTTTCAGCATTTAATAGTTTAATATTTTCTTTGTCAAGGTGTCTTAAAAACATGTTTAAAAGTTTTAAACTTTTAAAATTAAATTTCAAACAATATAACTTTACATGATGAACTTTTTACATTAAAAAGATGTTGACAATGAACTTAAAAATAATAAATTTTGATTCCAAGATTATATTTATTTTTCTGCTCCCATCCTAGAATGATGTCATTATACCTGAAGAAATTACTGGATCTGGCTGGAAGGAAAGAAGTGAATTCCATAACACGGTATATTGCCAGCTTCAGGACACAGCCAGAGAAAAACACAACAATAGCTCAGATTTGGCTAAAAACAAAACATGATAAGAAAGGCTCTAGCAGTCGAGCATTATGTATAAAAGTTATTGAAGAGAAAACAAAAAAGAAAAATGCCAAAGAAACATTTGAAAGTGTTGGGAGGAGAATCCCATACAACAGGATACAACTAATTGATGAGAATGGCGAAGACATGGGAGAAATGCATAGGGTAAATGTACTTCGTATTATGGATGAAAGAGGGATGAATCTTGTCCTGCTGTCTGAAAAAACAGATCCACCCAAGTATGGACTAATGACAGGAAAACAAATTTATGAAGAGCGTCTCAAAATTAGAGACGAGAAAGCCAGCCCCAAAGCAGGTATGCATGGCTTCTGTGAAACATATTGGCAATTCAGATGTTATGCTAAGTCCCAGTTTATTATAAGCTATGGTTTATTAAGCCATGGTAGCCTGGCTCACATAATACATTAAGCCAGGGGTAGGCAGCGTTTTGTCGGTAAGGCCATATTTCATTTTATTTGATTTCCTCTGAAATGGGACAAGATTGGTGTGGGTGGGTGTGCCTGCTTTTACTTTTTAATTTATATGAACTCTATCCTTTTAATAAACTGAAAGGAATTGGCTTGACTCATGATCTTATTTTAACAGGGCCTGTTCAACAAAAGATTATTAAAATGACCACAGTTACAGAGCAACACGATTTCAGTACAAAAGTAAAACAAATTCAGGAATGGATTGACAAGAAGTACCATGTGAAAATTATACTGCGTCAAAAAAATATTTCAGATGGACCAGAAAAGATGGTAAGTTTATTGGAACATTTTAAGGTATGATCTTGGCAGAGATCATAGTATTGTAAGTTGTTTCTAAAATCACTGTTTCATGTCAAATGGAAAAGACCAATTTAGTGTTCCACTTTCCAGCATATTTCACTATTGCAATGGAGGCTGGGCTGCTTGTAATTCTGCATCACCAAAGGGGGCTTTAGGTTTTCAGTCTGAAGAGAAAGATTGCCAGGAAATGGTTTCATCTGGGTCAAGACAGTAAATGCTGACTTGCTGTCTTTGTACTGCCTACTGTTACACTTGTCAGTGAAATAATGTTGTCCCACTTATTGCTACGCAATTGAAATTATACCGTTACTTGAAGGAAGCATCATTAAAACCAGAGAGAGTATATATTAGCTTGAAATCAGTACTCCTGGGTTCTTGACTTAGGAACTGGAAGATGCAGTGAGCTTCAGAGAGTGAAGTTGGGAACAGTGACAGCTGTAAATTTTCAGAGAGGTAGAAATATAACTTTCATTCATGTTCATGAAGATCTGCAAGCCAGTGTTTGTACTGTTTGAATTTTAGTTTGCCAGTTTTAGGGTCTGTTATTTTATTTGTATAAAATAAAATGACTGGTTGTATTTAACAACATTTCTTAACTGATGCAAAAAAAATATTCAATTCATTAAGCCAATTTGTCTTATTTTCAGTTAACATTTTTTGATAAGATTTTGGATACGATGCGTGAGAAAGCCACATATCACTCCATGCCCTCTATTGCTGCAGAAGGAAGGAGTACCTGTATATTGAGACATTTATCAAAGAAAGAGATCCAGAAATTAAATCTTGTGGAGAAAACTAAAGATATTCAGAAGGAGAATGGAAGCAACATTACAGACTCGGATGTAACCAAGCACTGATTGTTTTTTCTCCTAAAAATGGAATGGGAAAAGAACACAAGTCATTTTGCTTCAGCCTTCTGTACCAGTTCTATAAACTTGGCAATGACCACCCTCTCAAAGCCACTTTTTGTGAGCATCTCATGATGACTGTTAGGCAGATTTAAAACTCTTGTCAAGGAATGGCATTTCAACCGTCAGCAACTTGCTCTTTGCTGCTTGCTGCAGGCACAGATTCTTCCACTGGAGATAAGTTTCTTCTCTGTACTTTTGGAGGAATATATCCACTGAGGTGAGAAGCCAGACTCCGCTTTTGTTGTGGTTTCTTAGGAAGCAAGATCCAAAAGAAAAAAACTGTAATAGAATATCCCTTTTTTGTCATTAAAATCTGAGAATAGTTAACAATAAAACTGTCTGTTATTACCAGTCTGGCCAACTGGGTTTTGTAATATCACAGCAGGGTTAAGGGAACCTTGGATCAATTTGGAAGGAGGGAGAAGGAAAGGCTAACTAAAACAGGAAGAAGCACGGAAGCAGGAAGAAGCACCAAAGTGGAGCAAGATTCTATCTTTCTCTACTTAATCTCAGGTAGAGATTGAGAGGGGGGCAGGTACAAAAGACCCTGCATTTAATGCCCTTAGGCTATCCTGGAATAACTAGTGGGAAAACTCCCAAAGTGGCTATATTGATAGTAGAGTGGCACTGTTCTGAAAATCTGGGAAGGCTGAGGCCTGTAAGTATTTTAATAACAAACTCGGCCTTCCATCCTTCTGAAGACTGCATAAGCTTTAAGAAAATCTTCATGAAAGCTTAAATGGGACCAGTCTTTTTTCTTGAGGATTTGCATCATTTCATGATTAAACCGAGCCACTTGCATGAACTCTACTGAAGATTTATACACAGGCAATTCTCTTTATTTGCACATTCTGCATATGCAAATTCACTTATTTGGAAAAATGCTTTTGTAATGCAAAAACAATGCCTGGTGCTCTTCCACTTATTTTTGCACATGCAGAGTAGCAAAACATTGGAATCACCCAACATGCACCTCCTAGCTGAGGTTTTAGCAATCACTAAATTCAGTAGTCAGTAGCAATTTTAGAGAACATGACTACCATGAATAATGCCTGTATATCCCATTCCCTAGAGAATCTTATTAGTTATTATACAAGTGCAAAATATTTGCATCAGAACAGATAATTTCAGACAGATTGGCCTTGCCCTACTTACCACATAACATCACTTCAGGATCTCTGTAAGCTTTGTTCTGAGAACTAGAAAATCTGTATTTTGTTTTAGCCGAACCCAGAAGTACAAAAATGTTCTGGATTTTTTATTTGAACAAATTATGACTTATTCAGAGAAGTTCAGGAGAACTTCTGGAATGCAGTGTGTTTCATGTTCACAATTATACATTTGTTCCATTTTTTTCAAGCTCCTACTAGGAGAAAATTCAAGAATTTGACTTACTTTTGTGTCCGACTTTTTCTTATCAGGATCATGTTGTACCATGTGCCTTATGAGGCTTTGCTGTAAAAAATAAAAATTAATTTTTATGACCTGAAATAGAAAATGAACAATATTTATCAAATAATAGTATTAAAAATGCCTACTTTCATCGCAAAAATCTTCCCGCAGCCAGGATGGTCACACGCAAAAGGTTTTTTTGCCTCATGAAATGAGTGAATATGACTTTGAAGGTTGAACACTGTTGTGTATGTTCTTTTGCAGCCCTCCTTTGGACATTTAAAAACTTCTCTGTCAACAGCATGAGTTTTCATATGACATTTCAGATAATCTTTGCGAACCAATGTTTTGGAACACACTTCACAGGTAACTGGTTCTAATGGAAAAGGAAAACAAGAGGTAGAAGCAGAGCTTCTATTAAGCATAATTCTTGAAATATCTTTACAAAGAACAATATATATATTATATTACCTTGACCATATTAAATCACAGCTGTGCAGCATTCAGTTTCAGAAAGGAATGGTATTTTGAAGTATGAGAGATACTCTTTAAGCAATTGTTTTTTTCCCTGGATTGCATAGCTGCAGTGCAATTTCAGAAGAGTGTTCTGTTTAAGTCAGGTGTGTCCAATCAGTGGCCAAACAGGCCACGCCGGCCCTGGACAGCTTGTAATGCAGCCCCACAAGATCTTAAACTTTTAATATACATTATTACATTGTCATCTACGTTCACTATATTATGTATCTTATGTGCGGTCCAAGTGGAAAGTCAAAAGGCTGGACATACTTGGTTTAAGTGGTTATTTTATTTGAATTTATTAGTTGCCCAATTCTAAAGAACAAATATTACATCAACAAATGACAAGACAATACTTCAAATTTAAGAGCAAATCAAAACATTTATAAGGGAATCTGAATCAGACTATAGCTACTATGTTTATATATTACTTGAGGATCAGGCACATTTCTGAATACCAAACCACAGAAACAGATGAGTGTGATATTACATCACATGCTTCTTGAGGACTTTTCAAACATATCCAGTCAGTCAGAGCTGGAAAACAGGACAGTGGACTCAGCAAATCTTCCGTGTGATCCTATGAGCATTTTTTACTTGCACATGTACCGTATTATATCTACATATTCACCTCACTTAATATGCATGAGAAGAATCTGTGAATCAAAGGTTGGTGTATTGTTTATGAAATGTTTATTTTATTCTTGAAGGTGGAAATAGAGTACAGGTAGTTGTTGACTTATAGCCATTCATTTAGTGACCATTTGAAATTACAATGGCACTGAAAAAAATGATTTATGACAGTTTTTCACACTTACAAACATTGCAGCACCTTCATGGTCATGTGATCAAAATTTAGATGCTTGGCAACTGGCATGTACCTACAGTGGTTGCAGTGTCCCAGGGTCACGTGATCATCTTTTGCGACCTTCTGACAAGCAAAGTTAATGGGGAAGCCAGATTCTCTTAAAAACCATGTTACTAAATTAATATCTTTGGTGATTCATTTTACAACTGGCAAGTAAGGTTATAAAATGGGGCAAAACTCTTTCTTAGCAAACATAAATTTTGGTCATAGGTCCAGGTCTACCTATAACTGAAAAACTAGTCAATGGAGCTGTAACATGTAACATATCTTTTTAAATAACAGTTGCTGCGTAACTTTTAAGATGTGTTTATCAATTAATGTATGCTGACTCAATTATCAAAGTAACTACAGCAACTTTAATACTTACCCACATGACTGAGTCTCATGTGTTTCAGGTATTCTGACCAGGTTTTTCCAACAAACAAACAGCTCTCTTTTTTGCATGCATAACCTGTAAAAAAAAAACTGGCGTTAACTGGCTTTAAAAAATGCATTTTTTTTATTTGTACCCCACCACTATTATTTTTACAAATAATTCAAGGCAGTGAACATATCAAACAAGTCTTCCTACTTTCCCCACAACCACTACCCTGGAGCTGGTTTGGGCTGAGAAGAAGAGTGGCCCAAAGTGATAAGCTGGCTTTCATGATTATACTTTCTATTTGCATTGCACCTCAACTGTCTAATAATTTATATAATATGTTCCATTTATTTCTTATGATTGTGTGAATTCCTTTAGCTTATTCAAGTAATCGTGGTTAAAATAACTACATGACCCCAATTCTTACTCTTTTAGCATTACTGAAACAAAAGGAATAATTAATTACCTTGATGAATTTTCTCATGACGTTTTAAATGGCTGGGTGAAGAAAAGCGCTTTCCACATTCCTCATGGGCACATCTGTGGGACAAAAAACAGTCACTCAAAATGAAAATAAAGCTCACTGCTAATGAAATGTGAGGTATAAACTCTCTTGCAACTGAAAATAAACTTTTTCCCTTCAGTTCTTCATTCTGTAAAATCACTTTTCAATAAAAACATTAAGAGAAAAATCTCTCCATTCAGACCAGGAAGTGAAAGAATGCCACATATATATCCCATTACATTCACAGATTATGTTTAGTTTTATATATTTTGATGTATAACTACATTAAATAAATTTGGCAGTCATTGTCTATTAAATAATAAACACAAGCCAAAGTTAAAACTGGAAACTTCTGAGGTGCGTAGTCAAATACTGTGATTGGAAAACTCAGGTCAATTTAAACAATCGAAGAAGGGATGAAAATAAAAAGTATGAAAATTGGTACCTTGTAACTGAACAAGTAACAAAGTACTCCGAAAAAGTGCTTTAGAACATGAATGTACTGTTTTTACATGAGGTACCAATTTTCACTAAAATATTAGAAGTATAATGTTCACCAGATCAGAGGGAGGAATAAGCAGTGAACTTTTTAATATTTCCTGTCACATATGAATTTAAGCTATGCCAGCCCTATTTGGAGACCTCTAATAACATCTTCCTTATGGTAAAAACTTATAATTCCTACTTGCAAGTATCCTTAAAGTTATTAATAAAATTCATTCTCAGGCTTTAACTAAATAGGCAAAGTATCAAAAGGTTTCACTTACTTGAAATATGGTTCACCAGTGTGTTGAGACTGATGTATTTTTAATTGCTGGTGCTTTTTAAATGATTGTCCACATTTTTCAAAGTCACACTATTTGGAAAATCAATTTGGTTACAGTCAGAGAAAATCCACAATAAACTCACAATCTATTATATACTTTATCTTCTATCAAAAGGCTTACTATGGGTATGTAATTGTACAAATTAGCAAAAATGACCCCAAATCTTCAGTAATTAATCCAATGTAGTTTAGAGAATGCATCAATGCTGAAATTAATCTGCACAAACAAACCTCTTTCAGAATGTAACCCATCTACTATGGCAAGAAAAATAGTCCTTGCCTCATATCTAACAAATTGTGATCTAGAGGGATGTACACCATCTTCTGTTACTGCAAAGGCAAAGAGGAAGCCATGGATAGGTTTGCTGATCTACAACCTAAGTATGCAAGATCTAAGTTCACAAAATATTCTAAGCCTGTCAAACTGGCATCCCACTTTGCAAAGGCAAAAAATGTCACAATAGATTAAGATCCGGCCCTTGACGTGATCGAGTTTGACACGGGTTCTAAACCAACTGATTAAGGCTTAGAGTGTGTAACTTCAACCATAGTTAATATGCGGCATGCACACGGGGGGGGGGGGGGCTGCTCACATGTGCAGGGGGAGTTGCGTGCGTAGTGCTTTATGGCTACAGGCATGCGTGTGTGCACACGAGGATGGAAAGGTTAGCCATCACTGGCCTATAGTATTACAGCACTGTGCTTTCCAGATACTGGAGACTTCCAACAGATGTTGAAGACTTCAATACACCATCAACCTGTCCCTTACCCAATTTGGTTGAGGATTATGGCAAAAAGTCTAATATGTTCACATTAAGAATGCCAAAATTGAAAAGACTTCACTAAATTATATAAATTTCAAAAACTATTTCCTAATATT